TGTTGCCTTTTGCGGAGGCCACAGCCGGCTCAGAGTGGGCGGGAAGCTTGGCTTCCTCCATCGCCTGGGCAACCAAGCCTCCTGCTTGCTCCAGCTCCGTGGCTGCCGGCCTCCATCTTGGTTGGGTTAATTTGCATATAGTCACTCTGATTGGCTGGTGGGCATGGCTTAGGGTGTAGCAAAGGTATGGTCAATTAGCATCTTTGTTTTTTACTAGTGTAGATGGTCTAATCTACTTCTAACTGGCCAAGACCTCTTGTGAGCTCTATGCCATGTAATCAACAGCCTCAGAGATGTCCTTCAGGCCTCTTAGATTCCAAATATCTCAAATTAAGCTTATCATCTTCCCTCCTAAAAGCATAGAACCTGCTCCTCCTCCCATGCTTCCATGTCTATGCCAGAGCCAGAGACGTGAGAGGCTTCCTGAACCCCCACCACCTTTTCTCCCCATCCAAGCAATATCCAGGTCTGGTCTCTTTTTATCTTTTCAGCACCTCTGTGAGATCAATGCTGATATGATTCCCACTTTATAGTTGAGGAAACAAAGTCATATAGATGTTAAAGAACTTCTAAAACCTCACAGAGCTAGTGACAGAAACAGGATGTGACTTCATGCATTTGGATAAGGAACCATTAATGCTCAGCCTTTTCCTGTGACAAATACTATGAAAAAATCCTTAGTATGCCTTTAACCACAGCTCCAACCTGAACTCTTGATGTTATCCACTTCTTGAAACTCATCCCACAATTTACCCACCACTCACGCAACTATACTCCTGTGTACCCATCCTTCTGCTCAGCCAGTCCCCCAGTCAACCAACTTCCTTCCTTCCTTTCTTCCCTCTCTCTCCCCTCCTCTGTTCCTTTCCCTCCCTTTCTCTCTCCTTCCTTCCTACCTTACTTCCCTTCTCTTCCCTTCCCTTCCCCTTCCTCCCTTCCTTCCTCCCTCCCTCCCTCCCCCCCCCCCTTCCTTCCTTCCTTCCTTCCCATTTTTTCTTTTATTCAATTGCTATTTCCTCATACTCTACCCTCCAATTTCACAGAACTTCTCTCATACACTAGGATATTTTTCACATCTACCCCATGACTTAAGCTACACCACCCCTTGGAATACCTTTGCCACTATTTCTTCTAGTTACTGCACACTTGACTGTCAAAACATACCCCAGGAATCACCTTCTTCAGACAGCCTCCATCCAACTCCCCCAGGCTGAGCTAAAAATCCATTCTCCAGGCTCCTATGGCCCCTGTGTAGTGCTTTATCATTGTACTGATCCCATTCATATGATGACTTTAAGTCGATATGGCAGCTGAGATTTGAGGAAAGGGCCCATGACTGATTCTCTCAGTGCCCTTAGCTTCTGTTACAGAGTGTTACCTGAGGAATCTCATTTCATGTTTGCTTAGTGAGTCAATGCTGCATTTTCTGACCAATGAGCATGAATGCTCTGTGGATCTGCTTATCCAAATAACTGAAGATCTTTGACAGCTCTTTCAGGAAACTCTCTCTGTTGCACTCAGCCAGAGGGCATGCCTTGCAATCACATATGACTCTTGCTTTGTAGTTGTCATGTACAGGTATTCACTCCAGGTGAGCTTGCCTGTGACAATGTCCTGCATATGTGTTAGGAAAGGAAGTCATACCTGAGCAGGGCCAGTTGGCAGCCAGAATACAGTGGGCCAATGCTGGTGTTCTTGAACAAAGGACCAAGCTGGGGAGAAGGGAAATGAAGGTAACCTGAAGAGACTGGTGGGACAAGAACATGGAAGGCTAGGGTAGGCATTGATGGGCTCTTACCAGGTGATTCAAAACCCTCTCAGTGGAGTTGAACTTCGCAGAGCCTGGGAGCCTCATGTCTGGGGTGTAGAGCATGTTGGTGATGGTGAAATTGAGGGTGAAAGGCACTGGGGCTGGGCCCACATCTGCAGTGGAAGGAGGGAAAGAGAGGAAACCCATCACAGGCTTAAGCTAAGCTGTATATGGGAGGAAGGTACTAGTATTATCTCTTGGACCATAGTGTCCAGTTGTTGAGGCCTGAGATATCCTATCTGGGATGCCCTCCCTCTTCAGCCTGCCAAAGGGGGAGAAGGGACCTCCATGCTAGATGTATGACATCAGTTCAAAAGGGAACCTCAACCCTTTCATCCAAGAGTGTTGAAAGGCTGAAAAGTTGTGGACATTTTGGTGGGACATCTGGGCCGAGACCTTTTGCGCTCATCCCAAAATACTTGAGCAGTCAGATATCCAAATCATAGGAATTTCCACGAAGAAATGGCGGTCTGAGCAAGAGCATGCTGGGCTGAGATTTGGAGGACAAGGAGGAACCAGGCACAGCTGAGTTCCTGGAGGAAAAAATGAGGCTGCTGTGGCGGGAGATTAGGGCACGAGGGAGAGAGGGGAACAGGTTGCACTGGGTGGGCATCATGGTCCAGAGCATGTCGGAATTCATCAGCCACGGAATGAGAGTTGAGGTTTAATGGGACTCAGAGGTTAGATTGCTACCTGTAGAGCTAGGGGTGGGGCTCAGAGATGCTGCGGGTCCTGGAGAGAATGTGGAGGTCACCGGAGCTGAAAGAAAACACACTATGAATAAAAATTGTTGAGCCCTATCATGAAGCAATGAAAGGGTAGGGCTGTTCATGGAAACTTGCATCTCTAACTTGGCTTAATCTGAGGCTTCTGCTGTGCTGCAGCTACTCTGAGGTTGACAACCTAGGGGATGGGCGATACTTTCTTCCTGGGAACTAGGTTTAGGGAGGAAGGGTCCCAGAGATATAGGACATGCGGGCTCTCATTACTCACTGCTGGTGGTGGGGATCCAGTATCGATGGTTATAACCTACAGAGAAGCAAAGAGAGAGAGAGTATTATGGTGGGAGGAGGTTAAGAATAGGGTAAGGGGTAGAAATAGAAACGTAAGTATAGAAACCTTCCTGAGTGCTTTCTCTGAGATACATCAATAAATAATAACAGTATTCTTTATGAGTTAACTGCATGATACCTGATACTAATGATAATTTCATTCTCATTGTCATTAATCAGAAAGACAGTAATGGTCAAAGCAACCCCAATCTTATGGGGGTTTACTAAGTGCCTAGAATAATAGCAACCTTATCAAATGAATAATAGGGACAACAATTTTATATGAGTGTTTCCATATTTGTGTTTTCTTTACCTATTAATTATAATTTTGTCCTTACTCTTTCAGTTTCTCCCACTATCCTACTCTCCAAAGATAGCTCAATCTGTGACAATATAGTCTTAGACTTCTGTAATATTGAATTGAGATAATACAGGAGAGAGATGGAGAGGGAGAGAGCTGGGCTTGTGGAGAGAGAAAAGACTGGGTATCAATCAGAGACTACAAAGTTTAAAAAGAGGAAATGGGAAAAAGAGGATTTAAATAAGTATGTTTCTGGATCATGGAATGGATCCTCTTTGATGCACTGGAAATAGTGCAAGTAAAATTGATTTCTTTTATATTTGGTGGACTAACTGGGTTTTTTGAAATGAAACTTATCTCTGAGACTGGGCCAAGTGGAGCCTTGTGATTTACTTGGGTTATTCAGGTTTTATCGCAATCAGCTTAGGTGACTTTTCTATTCTAAAAATGGACACTGGAGCTTAGAGAGGTCATGGCTTGCCCAGGGTCACGTAGTAAGTCAAAGGCAGGGCCAGGGCTTGATAAAAGCAAGGTCTGTAATTCACCAAAGCCTGCACTGGTAACTACTCCCTTTAAGTAATCTCCAAGGACTAATAAAACCCAATATAAGTTTTAATCCAGGTAATAAGAAAACACCCACAGTGATATAATGGGGCTACAATTAATCAAGCTTTAGTTTAAATAGTTATAGTGAGGCTCCATGGTATGCCTTCCTGTCCTGAGGTTTGAGGCTTGTTTTTGCTGGGTTGGTCTGCAGTGTAGCCTAGTAGTTAAGGGGCCTAGATTTTAGAATTAATTTAGGGTTTGATTTCGGACACTACCACCTACATTAATTATCTGATCTTGGGAAAGTGGATTTCCCCAGCAGGCCTGTTTTCTCTTCTGCAAGATATACATGATAACTTAGAGAAGTTGGCAGGGTTAGTAATACATAATACATATAACATTCTGCATCATAGGAATCCCTCAATAAATATCACCCTTTATTGTAGGTATTACTGTGGGTGTTGTTGCCAAGAGCATGGATGCAAAGGAATTTATTGCTAAATCATTACAAACAGCTTTGTTGCTTGTTTCTCAGGTGGGTGTAATTCCAGCTGGCCCTTGGAGAATGGGTAAAAGACCACCGCTGCCATAGGGAAGTAAAAGAAGCAGATTCGTCACTGCACTGGGAACCCACTGGCTCTTGTATTGACTGCCATGGGCTTACTTTACCCTCTTCCTTCCTTGATGTCTGCATGCTCCATTCGGGCTTCTGTGAATGGTCATTGGGATGAAGAAGACTAAATGAAACTTTTTTTCCAGACCTTAAAAGGTGCTTTTTAGGTGTTATGAAAAGAGAGAGCTGAGCCCTATGGAAATTCTAGGGGTAGAGAGAAACATGGGTACAGAGAAATGCACTCCAAGGAGACCCCATCTGGGGAGCAGGAGGAGATCCCTTTGCAGCAGAGCTACTCACCACTGATGAAGAGACTATTGCTGTCCAGGGTGTAGGGGTCCAGCCGAGTGACACCATGGGTCTGCCGGCTTAGCTCCCAGTACAGCTGTTCCCTGTCCAGCCTGAAGCCTGTGGGATCTGCGTAGTGGGTGCAGATCGCACCCACTGTCGTGCTTGCTCCCTCCTTTTCAGCCCTGGAGAAGGAGGGACATGGGAATCGAGACATGAGAGGTGAATACTCTTGATCACTCTTAGTTTTTACATCATCACTCTTCCCTGAGTTTCATCTGCTTTCTAAAACACATCTCTCTCTGTTTCATGGGGGAATCCAGACACGCCCCCCCCCC